CTACCCCCGCGGGGCCTCGCCACTGCGCTCGATCGTCCTAGGCGGCTGGGCCGGTGAGCGAGGGCGACCCGGACCCGGACCGGGGCCCGGACCCGGTGGCCGGCTTCCTGAGCTGGTGTCGGCAGGTGGGGCTGGAGCTGAGTCCCAAGGTGAGTGGAGGCGGGCGGCGGTGGAGGAGGAAGACGCGGCGCGGGAGCGGGCCTGCTCTGCCCGCCGCTCACCCCCCACCCCCACCCCGGCAGGTGGCGGTGAGCCGGCAGGGCACGGTGGCCGGCTACGGCATGGTGGCCCGGGACAGCGTGCAGCCCGGGGAGCTGCTGTTCGCGGTGCCGCGGGCCGCGCTCCTGTCGCAGCACACCTGCTCGATCAGCGGCCTGCTGGAGCGAGGTGGGCCCGCTGCGGGGTTGCGGTCGCGGGCGTCGAGCGGGCCCGCGGGCTGCGCGGGGGCGCTCACCTCTGGTTCTCCCTCAGAGCGAGACGTGCTGCAGAGCCAGTCAGGCTGGGTGCCGCTGCTGCTGGCGCTGCTCCACGAGCTGCAGGCCCCGACGTCGCTCTGGAGCCCCTACTTTGCGCTTTGGCCCGAGCTGGGCCGCCTGGAGCACCCGATGTTTTGGTGAGGAGCCAGGGAGGGACTTGGGGGCGCCCGCCCCGCCAGCCCCGGTAGTGTGAAGGGAACCTGCGTGGGGTGTCGCCGCAGGCCGGAGGAGGAGCGCCGGCGTTTGCTGCAGGGCACAGGCGTCCCCGAGGCGGTGGAGAAAGACTTGGACAACATCCGCAGCGAGTACAACTCCATCGTCCTCCCCTTCATGGAAGCCCACCCTGAGCTTTTCAGCCCCAGGGTGCGCTCCCTGGACCTCTACCGCCAGCTGGTGGCTCTTGTGATGGCCTACAGGTGAGTGAGCAGAGCCATCAAAGGACCTTTCTCTTGAGGACTCTTCAGAGGAACGAGAGAGGAAAGAACACTGAACCCCACCCCCAGTCGCCCACCCAGCCACGAACTTTAGCCAAGTTCTCTGTGGCAGCTTTCAGGAACCACTGGAGGAAGAGGACGACGAACAGGAGCCCAACCCCCCTTTGATGGTTCCTGCTGCTGACATATTAAACCACGTAGCCAATCACAATGCTCATCTAGAATACTCTCCGGTGAGTGGGTCCCGTCAGTCCTTGTTAAGTGCACTGGGCATTTCATCCAAACCACTGTCATTTTTGTTGCTTGGGCTCAAGATTTAGACTCCCTTCTCATTAAAAATGTTAAGAGCCTGCTGCATGTACTCTGCAAATTCGAGTGACAGTGTGGACATGGAACATGTCAGTGCTTTCAAAGCAGGTTGTGATTAATCTGATAAAACAGACCATCATCCAGTTGGTGGCAGCGGTTGGCTGCTGGGTCGTGACAGTAAGGCAAGACTGTATTGAGGCAAGGTGGACAGCAGAAGGGAAGAGCTGATAGGCTTTTCCAGGGGAGAAGGGCTGTTCCCAGGGCAGCGGTAGAGGTGACCCCAGGGTTTGTTGGCTAAGTGTGAAGTTGCAAGATCAGATCCAAGTTTATAGAATTAAAAATTAGGAAATAGCTACTGTGGTTTATTTTTCAAAGCTAGCAACTTTTTTCAGTGCTGGAGCAAACAAAGCAGAGGGACTGACCTAGCCAGGGACCAGCTGACCTGTTACCCCTCAGTCTACACGCAGCTCCCAGGATGTAGTGCGCAAAGCATCAGTCCCGTCATCACACACCTGTAGGCAATGCCTAAGAGGGGCTTTGCTGAGGGCCAGCGTGGGCAGAGCCCTGACCTGTTTCTCCCTTCTACCCAGAATTGTCTTCGGATGGTGGCCACTCAGCCCATTCCTAAAGGCCGTGAGATATTCAACACCTACGGTCAGATGGCTAACTGGCAGCTGATGCACATGTATGGCTTTGTTGAGCCATATCCTGACAACACTGATGACACCGCCGACATTCAGATGGTGACAGTGCGTGAAGCCGCGTTACAGGGTAACACCCTGGTGAACCCGCCCTCTGTGCTGTGCTCTCTTAACGGTGGCCCCTGTAGAGCAGTTGGTGGTTTGGGGAGAAACAAGCCCTAGGCTGCACCGAGATTTTCACACCAGCTTTCCCACCCACAGGAATAAAGGTGGAAGCTGAAAGGCACCTACTCTATGAACGCTGGGATTTCCTGTGCAAACTGGAGATGGTAGGGGAAGAAGGGGCTTTTGTGATTGGGCGGAAAGAGGTGCTGACTGAAGAGGAACTTGCCACCACACTTAAGGTAACGGGCTGGAAGTAGTCATTCAATGCTGAAAATAGCTTTTAGTATTTCCAGTGAAATAAAGTGGAAGAGCACTACCAACAGGTTGCCTTCTCTAAACCAGTTTCAGGAATACAAATAGCATATTGTAACTAAAGGAGCCCCTTGTTGGCATCTAGGTCCTGTGCATGCCCGCTGAGGACTTCAGAGAGTTTAAAGACCAGGATGGATGGGAAGATGATAAAAGTGAAGAGGACAGCCTGACAATCACAAACATCCCCAAGCTTAAAGCATCATGGAGACAGCTTCTTCGGGACAGTGTTTTGTTGACCCTGAAAACCTATGCCACAGACTTGAAAACTGAGCAAGATTTACTTGGTAATAAAGAGGTATATACCAAACTCAGCTGGAGGGAACAACAGGCTTTACAAGTTCGCTATGGTCAGAAGGTCATCTTACACCAGTTACTGGAACTGACAAGTTAGTAGATGCCCTACTGCCTGAAGAACATCCACAAAAGAGCTTTATTCTAAGCTGATATTACTCACTGATGCTTGAAAAGAAAATTTTGGATCTTTGCTTTTTCTTATTAAATGCCAAAAGGAAAAGTGCAAAGGTGTGTGCTAGTAATACATCTAAGGCTCTCGTGGCTAATGGCTGGGAACAGTGAGCTTGAGGATTATTTCTAAGTGTCACTAGGATCAATACATTTGTAACTGCAGAGTATTGATCAAAGGCAGCAGGAACATGGTAGTAATAGGTCTAGCAGCCAGTCTAGTGTTTTAATAACATGGATTCTGGTTCAAATCCTGGTCTATTTTGAGCATGTTACTTTAACTTCAATTTTTATTTTATTTTGCTTTTAGAGAATTTAATAAGCTGTCTATAATTGGCACTCAGCAACTATGTTAATTCCTCAACAGGCTACATGGTACAACTCACAATTCAGGGAAGAAATCAATGACATTCAAGCCCCATTCACAGTGAGACTTCTATTTAATACGTCCTCTGTGGCCATAAAACTTTGTTATTAAAGGTAAGGCATGAAGTTTAAATACATTTGAATTCTGTTTAACCACAGAAACTGCTCTGACCAGGTTTCTGTTAAAGGAACATACAAAAATCATTTCTAAATGCTTGATTGGAAAGGGGAAGGCCCCACCATTCACAAAAAAAGTTGGTGTTTTCCTGTGGCCCTGGGGTCCACTTGCTCCTCACCACCAG